TAGGCCTATGAAACAATTTTCCCCATAGATGCCCTCAATTGTGCCCATGGTTTTAAAGTAAAGGGTACCCTGTTAAGAATACCAATAAAAAGTTATTTGCTGTACAGGTCAAGAATTCCTCTATCTGTTGATAGTAATTTCACGTTGATTTGTTTATGGGGAAAGCCACGATGAAGCAATGAAAATGAATAAATATTGTAAAGTCACAACAGTTCACTCGCAGAGCAAAGGTCAAATAAGTAACCTCCCTGACCACCCGGGCGTGGCATGGTTGACCGGGTCAACTCCTCAGGTAACAAAGTGCTCCGCTCGGGGACAGCCGTGCATTCATGTGTTCGTTGAATCCGAGTTACTTTTACTCATTTTTATGCTGACGGCCACCTCTATTCGACGGTTACCTGTACAAACGGCCACTTTCCAATTCCCCCCTTGCGTTTTTTCTATATAATTTAACTGTGTAAAACGGGTACCTGTCTAACGCGGCCGCGGCCACCATATTTTAACACACAATCCCTATCACACTAAGCAAAAACACCTGTCTTAGACGGCCACCTTAGTGCCTCCATTACGTTTTGTCATAAATTGATCTTTGGCCCCTGGCGTTGTGGGCGAGCCGTCATATCCTATCACCTGTCGTTGTTGTTAGGTAGTTCCTCCAACCAATCATGTTGCGTAGGCCCCTCCCACTGTTGACCAATAGGTGACAAATTTTAAGCTTCTGGTAAGCGCGTAATCCCTCATAACCCGTAAGCTCCGCCCTGAACTAACACAAATCGTAAGTGAGATGAGTAGTCACTATTTACCCACTCTGTAACAAAGTAACGATGGACGTCAACATGAACTTGGAACAGAAGCGTCGCTCGTTCTCCGAGTGGGGGTGACCCATGTGTTTGTTTTACCCTTAGCACTCGGTCCTCCTCGTCTGACACATTTCTTTTCATTGTCACAAAAGCAGCAAAAAAAAAAAAAAAAAAGAAAGAAAAACCCAGCGAAAACAAGAACAACAATAACAATAACAACAATGCGGCTACCTTTGGTTGGGACATCAGAAAGGAATTGTTTGTTCTCTTAATCTTGATTAGTCTTGCCTAAGACGGCCACCTGTCTTATACGGCCACTTTTTTCCTGACAATGGGTGGCCGTCTTACTCAGGTTCGACTGTATATTTAAAACTGAGGAATAAACAAACAAACAAACAAACAAAAAACAAAGAATGGGGAATGCAACTCAGTAGAATCCGAGTTCCACTGTATAGATCTAGGTCTAATATTATGTTAATGTACAAGTACAAGTGTGCTTTCGACTTTCGAGCCTCTCACTCTCATCTAGTCCCATGTTGTGTTGATCAAGAACACAAGCTTGTACTGTTATGATAATCAATAACATCAGACTTCTACAAGCACAAGTCCATGGCTTAATATGGCATTGAACGTCGTAAAATACAATAATTATAAAATAAATGAACATAATATTTTACATTTTTTTATTAGCCTAGATCTATATATGTATCAGGTCAATTCTCTTCTTCTGAAACTTCGTGATCTAAAATCACATAGGCTTATAAATCTGATAGTGATACATGTAATAGCCAAGACAGAAGAAAACAAGAGCTCAAAGAGCTAGAGGTCGCAGCTGTGACGTCACCCTCGTAAACTCACTATCGCTGTGCGGCCCACCCACTCAGCTCGCTTTGTCGCCATTTTTACAGGATAAGAAACAGCGCTGTTAGGCCGGTCCCAGAGTGGCTCTGTAGGTCTGACCTGTAGCTCGCCAAGCGCTTGGGATTTTGTGGTCAAATGTTAATGCTAGCATCAATATCTTATTGTAAAGCACCAAACAATACTTACGGCTAGCTAATTTTGATGATCTGTGAAGAATTTCAGTTGATAAATACGAAGCGAAGCTGCGTGCGACACATGTCCGACGTGTTTTTACAACACTGCGAGGACTGGGAAGAAGCATTTTTGTGTGCATCGAATTCAATTTCTAGAGCTAGAGATTTTTAAATGTCTGAATATTCAGACACTTCAGTTGTGGCTGGGGCAACGTTCCCGTAATATACTTTTAATTTGAAAATGCCTTCAAAAGGTACCGCAAGAAAACAGGACTGCTCGGCCTTGGCAGTAACCTATTTTGCATTTAGTTAGTCACCCCTAAAGCAAAAACTAAAATCCTTCCTGTTAAAAAAAAAGATCCCTCCACGCCCCCCCCCCCCCCAACACCTCGTTCACACCTTTTACACACACACACACACACACACACACACACACACACACACACACACACACACACACACACACACACACACACACACACACACACACACACACACACACACACACACGCGCGCGCGCGTGCCACTCCATTCGCAAATTATCAACGAATCTCGAGAACGAAAACTGTTCGGAGAAATAGTTTTTCAAGTTTATTTTCCCGAGCGTTCGGAGAAATAGAGCCGGCCATCAATTATACCGTACGTTCATTTGCACTGTGCGAGCTAGGCGAGTTACAGGTCAGACCTACAGAGCCACACTGGGACCGGCCTAAAGCTGCGCGTCCCTCGCAAAGACTAGGTCTTCATAGACTTTGCAGCTCAGTTCAGTTTTATTTTAAGTTTTCTTTTTGTTTGCTGTTGTTGTTTGATTATATAATAAATACGCGCATTCACAACACCGCACATGCTGACCGATTGTGGGAAACACAAAAGCACATAAACGTGGACTACAAACGAACAGAGACACAATACATATATATATATATATATATATATATATATATATATATATATATATATATATATATATATGTACATTTGTATGAGGTATTGTTTGCTTTTCCCGGGCGGAGTGGGGGAGGGGCAGAGGGAGACATAGTGAGCAGTGGCGGTGGGTGGACCAAAATTTGGGAGGGGCTTCAGAGTTGCTTCCACTTCTTTACCACCAAATAGCAAGCAATAAGACCTCTTAACAATACTGATTTCTCTATAGTCACAGTGAGCCACGGTATTTTGAGAACCATTCAAACGAGAAAAGGCACCTTTGTCTTCCATCTCTTTGTTCTAAGTTAAATTATTCTGGATAAAAAGGTTGCCTTAAAAGTGGAATCGACGTGATATAAACTGTTAAATCTCAGCGGCACAAACACAACCATGCACACACAGCACTTCAAATGCATTCCGTCTATATAAGCTAGATTACGCCGTATAGTCGAGGAACGTAGACGGCACCTAACAAAAATCCAAAGAGAGTGCAGGTATCTGTGTCACTGGGGGAAATTGTGTCGTAAACTTTCTCCCTATTGTCAGGGCTAGGAGAGTGTGAGCCTTCAGTACAGTGTTCTTTTTTTCCCCAGTCTTCTACCTTTTTACAAGAAGAGTTTCATTACGGAAGGGGCGTGAGAATGGGCTCATTCTTTGCTGAGCCCTAAAGAAATTTGATTGGCTGTTAGGTTACTATAGTTGTAAACGGTGACAATAGTGATTGGATAAACGAGAAAGCCGCCAAGTACACCACTCTGTGTTCATTGCGTGCGACCCAAGGAGTACTATATCATATACAGTAGGCCCCTACTCCTTGGTACGACCATAAAGGTTTCAACTGCTTATTTCGTTATTTAAGAAACTTTCATTTACTTTGGGATAGAGTTGGGGTGGGGGGGGGGGGGGGGGGGGGGGGGGGGGGGGGGACTCAAGCCCATGAGCCCTTCATGCACTACCCACCGCCGCTGAAGTGAGCGAGTAATTGAGTTTGTTAAGAAAAAGTACACTATTCATACTTACAAAATGAATTGCTTTTATGTCATGCTGTCTACACTCTCCTTCTACTGATGCAAAGGCTATGTTTTCATAGAATATGAAGGGGGTTAAGACTGGGTTAATTATAATATTTAATATATTAATTCATTATTTTCTCAAAATGAGCAGTTGATTTTAGGCAGGGATAATACTGTAAATCACTCATTGTATGGATTCTGTGCGCACACCCAAAAGAGTGTTGTTTAATATCGGGGAAAAATAAATATATACTGACAAAATTTTAAAATGCAACACTTAGATAAATAGCAGGTTTATTTTAAACATTCGCAATATTTTATAAAATTGGTGCTGATTGACTATGTATTTGACTACACAACACCCAATTTTCCATGAACCCCACCTGCTGCTGTTGCACCTTCCCTTATTGTCATCGGTTCCACAAATGAGACAGAATATTACGCTGGTGGGTAGTTACGCCTTGTTGGCTACTTTATATTCTCTCATCTCAACAACATCGACTGTGGTTCTTTTCTGTTCAGCCAGCCGTGAAGGTGAGCTAGAGCTGCAGCTGAAGATTTTATTATAGTTTCCCAGTCACATTCCTGATTCCAAAGGGCCGATACAAGCGACTTGTTGCAGTCAGCTGTGCTAAATCAAGAGATACAGTTACAGCGATGCACAGCAAAAGATTTCAATAAAATTATGGGTTTTTTTAAAACAAGTGATCGTTAAGTCCATCTAATTCATTTTTCTGCTCATTTAAAGGTAAACAATCACAAGAATCCCTATGTGTACATTTTAGCGATAGGCAAGTCACATGAAAAAAAATCAATCAACATCAAAAGACTTCGCAGAGTATCCTTAATCCGTGATTGGAAAGTTACTGTGCACCGACTGGCCTTTTATTTTTATTCCTCTCCGGAATGGCGGCGCGCCCCTCAAGTTTGACACTCGTGACGTCAGAGCTACGACCTCTAGTTTTATTTATAACCTCTTTGACCAGAGCTTTAAATAGATCAAGTGAAGCCAGCGATTTTTACTAACGTATATATTTGTTATCTAGTCTCGTTTATCAGTTAGAATAAAACAGTATGACACCTGATAACGTTTGGGTAAAATACAACTAATTATGTTCTTTTTGGATGTCTGAAAATTGTATTTAGAATTATTCTCCTCAACAAAAGAGCAAAATGCGAAACTAATTACCAATACGTGACTCTCGGTATCCTTCTGACCTCCACGTCAATGAAACGGAAGTTTACAATTACTATTCTTAGAAACAGTGAAATAGAAAAATAGATCACATCTTCATCCTGATTTGTGTTTGCGTCCGGCTTTTCTAATTGATATTGGGGTCTTTGGAAAGAAAAAGGGGATAACTTGTAGGCACACTTCATCGCTTCAACGTTTAGTACAGGTGCGTCGCCGAGAATAGGAACTGTTTACTTTTCAAAGTGGAATCTTATGACATCGGGGAAGCCCCTGGCCTCGCCCCGGCAGGTCCTGGTTGTTTAGGGAGACCAGGTCTTGTGAGTGACTGACTGGGTGGCTATTTTTGACCAGGCCAAGGCTTTCCGGTGACGTGTTCAAGACAGTGGTGGAGTTGCTTACAATTTACTTATTACGAAGTAGCCTTCGAACATCGGGTGCCAACTGTAATTGATCCAACATGGAGTTGGGGACGCCGTCCAACGATGTGCTGGATTTGCTTTTTGATGACAACTGCGGCATACTGAAAGGCGATTCTTCTGTTGGTGTTAGTGATTTCACCAAACATGACTTTGTGGATCAAAATTTCAACCCTACCAGTAACATGGCGTTTCACAATATCAACCTCGTGAGTTTTTCTTTCGAAATACCATGCCATAGTAGATCTCTAGTCAAGTAAACTCAATCATAATTTACCAGTAGACTATATATCTAGATCTATATCTAGATCTAGATTAGATCTAGACTCTAGATCTAGATCTAGATCTAGTTGAAGTTGTGTTTTCATTCAACATATTGTTTTTATTATTAGCGCCTGCAGTCTGCAGTAACCCGGGACTTCCCTTGACTCATGCCAAGACTCCACCGTGGAGGGATTGACATAGTGATTCCAACTGATGACCTCTCCCTGTTTCATCATATTCTTTTATGTTCGAGAATGTTTTCTTACTGATTGGCAGTTGGCCTCAGAAAGAGTTGCTGATCAGTTTTCCAGATGGATGAAGGCGACAGTCCTTTACTAAGCCACTGATTGCAAACTTCGTCTTCCACTTCTACTCGGTTGATCATGGAACTTGATGACAATATCAGCTTCTTTTCTTTTACAGATGCTTCAGCTTTCCATGATGTCTCTTCCCTGAGTTCCTTATGGGATGAAGTAGATCTAGATCTAGATGTAATTAGAATTTTTTTTGTTAATGATTGGAATGTGCTGTCAGATGCATTCTTTTTACGAAGTGACTATTCGGACTCGAGTCCGAATATGAAAAAATGTTATTCAGACTCGAGTCCGAATAATGACGGCCTTCTTTTTAATTGTCTATTTTGGTCGCCGACAAATGGAATTCAAGATTCTTCACTTTGTTGGGGCGGGTGAACTCTGGGCGATTGTTAAGATTCCCGTGTTTAATTCTGATGTGCGTTTTTCATACCCTCAGGCATATTTCGCTTTGGTCCCTAACCTTAACCCTAACCCTAACCCTGGCCCTAACCCTAACCCTAACCCTAACATAGGGTTAGGGACCAAAGCGAAATATGCCTGAGGGTATGAAAAACGCACATCGGAATTAAACGCAGGAATCTTAACAATCGCCGAACTCAGTACTGTGAAGTTTGTTAAAACTGCAGGATTAGCACAGACATTATATTAGTAGTGAAGTAGACTCCAGTAGATAAAAATTATTTTTTATTTTATAAACGAAGTCCACTGAAATTTATAAAGTGGACTGTTTATAAATATTTTATGTCTTATATTGTCAAAATGTTTGTCTTTGATTATAATTCATTTTGAGACAGAAAGAAGACTGTTTTTACAGTATTACTGAATGGTTAAAGGTTGATATTTTGACTCCTTGTTTCTTCTTCTTGCTACTCTTTATGTTTTTGTAATGGATATATATATTAAGCTTCAGTTTGTGTTGTATTCAATGTGGGGGAAATGGAGCATGTATTAAAACTTCCGTCCATATTTTTTCCACAGGGTGATTTTGACTTGCTGAGTGACAACTTGTTTGAGAGCCTTATCAATTCTGCAGAGCCGAATTCTTTTTTGGATGGAGAACCTGCTGCAAAAAAGCGTGTCATTCATTCAGATCATGATTACATAGCTCATAAATCGCCAAGTGAGCACAGCGACAGTGGTATATCAGTTGTGTCAGATGATTCTTCTTCAGCTTTACATCTAAACATCAGCCCAGAGGATAATATGACTGATGATCAGCTTGAGCTTTTCGTTACTGGGAACATTAAAGGTTCACCTGATTGCACCACAGGAACAACACCCCCATCATCATGTGGTGACAGCCACACTTTTGACCTTTTTGATGTTATTGACAATAATGAACCTGACTCAACAGGAGATATCAAACACACTCACACTGTAGATACAACAACAGCTGATTTGGATGACTTTGACTTCACTTGCAGTAATGATGACAACATTTCTATAGACTTTGGTGAGTGCTAAGCTGTCTTGTGCTTACAGTTAAAGAAAAAGAAACCAAATTTTGGATTCCTTGATTCAAGCTACTAGTTACGTTGAATTATTTTAGTTGGACATGACGGACAGTGATTTTTAGGAAGTATATGAAGAGGACGAAATACTTTGCTTTTAAAATTAGATAGTCAAACCTTGTTATTATAACCCTCCCTCTACCCACTAGACCCCGTTATACTGCCAGCCCAGCCCCCACTTATCACCAGGTGTTGCCAGTGTTGAAAAGAAACGCCAACATATTAACATAGTATTTGTTTCTTTACATTGCCACCCGCCAACCGTCTGAATTGTTCGGTCCTAAAATCTCTATAAAATTGCCCCGTTGTACCACCAGCGGTCTATTGGGCTCCAAACGGTACATACCACACATGGCGCACGGCACCCACTCGGTGGCTGCTTTATGAACTTTTTCACACACATTGCTGTGAATTCTGCCTGTTTCTTGTGTTTGTTGCTGATTTGTTTCTGATTTGCGCTGATTATGAAAATATTATGTCCAGTTTAACAGAAGGAACTGCAAAGGAACAGTGCCACTTTAGCCTGTCAGCAAAATATTTGGTGTCACCAGATCTTTGCCTGATTACCAAAGGGCTGGTGGGTGCCTTTGAGGCTCTTATTTTGTAAAGATTCTCGCACAAGTCTTTGGTGACTGGTCTGAGGCGGCCTCAGGATTGACGAGTATCTGGTTTAAAAAAAAAAAACTAGTTTAAAAATGTACGTGTACAGGGTCCTTGACACATACATCTAGTTTCTGATCTGGCAGAAATTTTCAATTTGAATCAATGTATAGAGTTCAGCTAGAGCAGTATATATGTTGAAATTGGTTGTTACTTTCCTCCTGCACATGGCAATCACATGACACAGATCTAGATAAGACCAGACTGGCCATGGTTTGATTAATGATTGTCTGTAGTCTTTATTCTAGTCTATCACTTGTCAAGATGGCAATCGATTCTATCCCTGTAAAGGGCCAGCCCCGCTGCGCATCAATTTAATACTTGTCCCAAGGTAGCGGTATAACGGGGTTTGACTGTTTAACATTTTATGATATTATATCATTATTATATTAGAAACAGACTGATTTATGCATTCTTTCTCTTTGTGTGAGAGGAAGCAATCATGTACTGTCAATATGTAAATTTTACTCCTTTGTGGCGAACAATTTGTCATGCATTATCATATTCCCAGTTTTGCACGATATGATGATGTGGTTTTTGATAGTCAAAATGTTTTAAGTTTGAATTAAAATAATTATGTTTTAGTCGTCGAAATTTAGGAAGTAACAGTAAGTAATGGTGCATCACTATAAATGAGACCTGGATGCAACATTAGCTACATGAGTTTTATTGTTTGAGTTAGAAAAAGATATATAAATTGTAGTTTTCCGCTTGATTAGCTTTTTTTATATTTGAATATGTATAGAGTCTGTGTAACTTTTACTGAACTCGATTAATCTGAAATCAGTTGAAACCCGTAAGGAAATGGAATCCCTAATTATTTTGTTTTACTTCTATTTGAGCAACCTTTCTGGTCCTGAAGATTTCGGTTTAAGTGGATTCCATTTAATTATGATTTGATTTTTCTCAAAATTGTCCTTTCTCAATATAATGAGATGTTTGAAAGATTCATTGTGGTTTTTTCTTTGTTTAGATCTGGAGCCACTGAGTCATTCTGGAGTTGGATCTGATTCTGAGAATCACGACTCACGATCAGTCTTCGTGTTCAGTGGTTCTGCAAAAAGGTTAATACCTTCCCAGAAAATTTCAAAAGGAGGCAGCGCTCTACCATTCACAGTCAAGGACATCGATCCTCACATTACAAGCGTAACAAACGTGAGAATTTTTTGTTTTAAAATAGTCTAAAATGGAATTAGAAAAATACAAATTTAGTATCTCAGGATTTGGAACAAAAGGAGGAAAATATGACACAGATTATAAATCAGTGTTTGTAAATAAACATAATCTAAATAAGTCCAATCTGAAAGAGCATGTGTTTTTTTCATCTGAGAAGTTTGTTGAATTACAAACTTGTAAAAAGACACGATCCCGATCAGTCAAAACTTTGTAATTCAAAAATGATTTTATAATTAAAATGGCTCTGATATGGGCAAGTCTGAAGCCTATTCTTACTCTTTATTTTAAAAAAAATAAAAAAATAAAGTTGACATGATTTCCAAAGCATTCGAATGTGTCAGTTGTGTACATAGGGTTGGTATTAACTTTGAACTACAGTCGCACTTGCCAAGATGTCCACCTGTATAAGACAACAATCTGTACAAATTGCTACTTCCTAGTCCCCCTTGTGTCTTTTCTGTATAAAAGATTGCTACACAAATCTGTCAACATAGATGCGTTGCCATAAATTATTTATTGACCATCATAATCCATTCATGCGATGGTATTGTTGTTAGTCTGTCCTATGAATGAACCAACCGATGAACAGGACCTTTTTGAAGGCGAGGTTTCTGGTCCCTCCCACTGTTTATCCAAGTTGACCGGTCAATGATCCTAAATCTGCAACTGCCTCTGGTTGGGATCTCAGAAGGGAATGGGTTGTTTTATTTATTTATAAAATTTTTTTTTTGATCAGTCCTGCCTAAGTTAAGATAAATGTGCAAGGGATTGGAGTTTTTTAGTTATAGTTATAATGTGAATTGCATTATTAAAAACAGCTGTCTTTCTTTTTGCCTGTTGTTATGTTAAGAATTTTAAATATTTATTTTCAGTTCCCAGAGCTGCGTCTCACAGATGAAGAGAAAGAGTTGCTTGCAAGGGAAGGGGTTACGCTGCCAACGAACTTACCCCTCACTAGGGATGAAGAAAGAGTTTTGAAAGCAGTGAGAAGAAAAATCAGAAATAAGGTGAGTAAAACTGTTTTACCCTTGCTGTCAATGTGTGTCGCTGAGCAAGTAAGTCCCCGTGACCCCCGACAATGCCATTGATATGCATTTCTGTCAGCTCAAGGCAGGAAGTCAGATTAAAAATAACTGAAAAGTTGGTTTTAAAGTTGAAGCAGAGTGGTTCTTCTTTCTCGTAGTTCTTTTTAATGGTTGAAGTTGACCCAGAAATACCACGTGTGTGAAGCTTTGAAGGAAATATGACACAGTTGAACAAATCCAAGAAAACTTTGAAGATACAGCTAAGATTGAATCACAAGGGAGCCAGAAGAAAATTCGTCTTAGACAAGAATTTACGGGGAGAGGTAGAGGGGTTCCAGAGGCCTAGCCATTCGCTTGTCCGGTTGGAAAGCAGTGGTCAAACCCTCATACCTTTCAAGTGCTATTCCAGCCTCTCTGATCACGGCATGCATGATCAAACTTGTCAATTGCCACAGGTGCTTGCATTTTTATAGGATCTCTGTTTGACCTAATAAAACAGAAACAATTGAACAGCGCCTTTGCTTCCATCCTTAGCCCCTCCCATCAGTGTAATAAGCTCAGTCAACCAATACCACTCCTCCTGTGCATATAACAATGATTGGAGGAACTTTTTTCTTGGTTAGCCGTATGAACAGGGTGACAAATACTGGTCAAATCAATTTCACACCCCTGGTCTTTGACTACCCAGGAAAGTGTCTGGGCTGGAGCGCCAATCAAAGACTTTCACAGGCACTGGTGAGATTTCATACCTAAACCACCCTAATCATCTGCATTGCTCAGGGTTCACATGGATGGGGTAACATCTAACCCAAGTCACAACCCTACTCCTCTTCCTTGTCTGGCAGCATGGTGTAAAGGTTAGAGTTGATGGAACCAAGACTTGATAAGTTTTGTTTCAAATCAGGATTGAGTGGGCAAAGCATTTTCTGTCTTAGACAAAGGTAAAACCCTTCGTTTGGAAGGCGTTTCTCTTTCCTTTTCTGCGATAGGCAGGTTTCCATTTTATAGAGGAAATTATTAAGGAATTTATCTAGGGGGAAGCGGGGAGATTCTGTTGTGACAGGTGTCCATCTTACAGAAGTTTCCGTTGAGGCAGGTTCAACTGTACACAATAACTTGCCTGTTAAGGGATCCCAACGAAATTAAGACACACTGAAAGTTCATGTATTTTTTCCCAGATCATTTTATGAAGAAACAATTTTTAAAACGTTTATAAAAACGTGGTATGTATAGTATTTTTGGGGATTATTTCCTCTCTCCTTGGAATTCAAATCATGTATCAGGACAGGTCCCAAAGGGTAAAAGAGTTAACAGACTCTTGAGACTGTCTTTAAAAAAATGGTATGACATATACAGCCATAGGTTTTAGCAAAACAGAAATGTTGCCTTAACTGGACTACTAACATTAACCAGACATGAATGCTTACTAAAGGGTTGTGATGAATAAAAATCTGGGAAAGTGTGCTGACAACTCGAATAAAATGGAGCAAAACCATTATTCAATTTCTTTTGTTTTTCAGATCTCAGCGAAAGAGAGCCGCAAAAGGAAGCAAGGATATGTTGATGGCCTTGAACAAAGAGTAAAACTGTGTACACAAGAAAACAGAGAACTTCAGAAAAAAGTGGACTCTCTTGAAAAACAGAATGTGTAAGTATTTCACTGTTGACTTCTTGATTGAGATGTAAAGATTTGAGATAACTATGGTTTTGACACCCCCTTCCCCCCCTCCTCGGCGTTAATATTTTTATGTTGATGGAGTTTAAGTAAAAAAATTATTTTATGGTTTAACACAAATACCAATCAAGGTCTTTTCTTGTCGACAGTTCTTCTTTATTTTATAAGATGTGCCTCATTTCATTAATGAATCTAGAAGCTCCTTTACCCGTTTGTAGCCTATGATTGGCTACCATTTTTGCAGATCTCTATTGACATGATACATTTTAGTTAGTTGTACTGTACTTAAATCTAATATTTTTTGCTGTGTACTTTTGTATTAGTTTGGAAATGATGACTTCCAGGGGTTGATTTGAAGATTAAATTATTTTTTTAAGGGGGCATCATTTCAGCACCTTAGAACTTGTGAATGGATTTAGGGGAATGATTTAGTTCTCTGCCTCCCCTAAGAGCTTGTTTAACAGTTCATTTTTGGAACAGTTTAGTTTTGCAATAGTATGTGTATTACTTTTGTTCCTTTAGGTCTCTTATTGCCCAGATGAAGAGGTTACAGTCTCTGGTTGGCAAGTCAAAGGTACCTGCTCAAGCATCTACATGTGTTATGGTGAGTGTGCATCCTTTTCAGATATATTATTTAGTTTATTGTCTTCCATATCAGATTTTTTCTCTTTCTCCCCCCCCCCCCCCCCCATTTGGTTGCTTTACTGTGTGCAGAATATATGTGAACCCATTGGGTTCATGTTCTGTTTTTAATATGTTGCATTTGTTATATATTTTTTTCAAACATGTAATTTTTGAGTTTTGTTTTGTCAATTGTTAATCCAAGTTAGTCTTTTTGAGATTCCACTCAGTACATGATCACTTTTTTGCTAAAAGTAGTGACTTTAAAACGAAGTATTCAATTTGAACAAGCCTGGATGTAAATTTCCACACTGAGTAGTAATTAAAGAGGGATGATTTTTCTTTGTGTTTTGAAATTAAATTTAAATTGAAGTGTTCTGTTGAAACCTGAAGGTGTGACTGTTATATTGAAGTTTTGTAATGCTGGTAGTGCAGTGCAACTCTATGATTATTATCTTGCTGAGAGATGCTTCATTTTAATTTCTTTTTTAATATTTCAGGTGTTATTGTTGTCCTTCGCCTTGCTTGTGGTGCCAAACTTGAATCCATTTGGCAGTGAGGAAGAGAACCACACACCTATTGCAACCTCAAGTGCAGCTGTTAGAGGTATAAAGAGACACACTAAAGACATAGAATGCTTCTGTTGGCCCATAGATGAACGTGATCAACATTACCAAACTTGGTCATATTTAAAATATCGTATTCAGTAACATTGTACCTGGAACACTGCAATTTTTTCTAGATTCAGAGAAATGAAAGGATTTTCATCATCTTTCTCGAGAGTTATATGTGATGAATGCTCTTGACTACATACTTTTACTGATGAACTTTGAAGTGTTTCTTTTGTTAAGACAATACAGGTTATCGATTTCTTCTTCTGGGCTGACAGAATTCATGTTTTCTTGTGAGATAATGTTTATATATAAAAGATAAAAATTTAACACCATGCAAGCAGCACAAGGACAGTATTGTGCTGCAAATTAAATTTTGTACATGGGCAGTCATATTTAATATTTATGTAGTTGTTGGAGATCATGAATTATTAAGTTGGTTGAATAAAACATTTTTCAATTCTCTTCTTAAAATTACTTGGAAATGTTAGAATTTATTTGAATGACTATAGGAAAAATGCTGTAGATGGTATTAGTCAGTTGTTTGGCAAAAATTTCATCTGTGCAGCTATGAGAACTTTCAGACTATGACTTTCAAATATGGTGTCTAAATGAGATCAAAGTTTTTTATTGTTATTTTGTGGGTGCTTCCACCAAGTATTTATTTCTGCTGGGTAAAGGAGGACTTTGCGCCGCCCCTCCCCCTACTATATAAGATATCTCATAACCTCTCATGCCCACTGGCTTTGTAAACTATTGTCTCTTAATTTTAAAAAAAACCAACCGTCTTTGCATGGAAGAAAATAGGTCTGTGCTTTCTTTCCTTTTTTTTCTTTCTGTGGTATGAAGTAAATGGGGATGTTAACTAAAGTTGCCTATATAACAATCAGTGCAGTTAATTACTGTAATACAATTTTGCCTCCAGAGCCGGATAGTAATTTCCCTTTTCAAGTATCTATAGTGTATGTTCTCTTTCTTCCAATTTAGGTAAGGCAAGGAGCCTGCTCAATCATGACAGTTCTGGGCTGGCTGCCTCTGATGAGGACCCATACGGTGTGACTCAGCGCCCCAGTGCTCCCTGGGACAGCAAGCAGGGAGTTGTGCAGATGTCTGCTCTCAGCGCTGCTGACATTGCTCTGGCTGCCGACGATGTCTTGTCGGTGGTAAAGACAGAGGTTGAGACCTCAGATGGAGAAACGAAGAAAGAGGAGGACGACAAAAAGCTAAGGATAGCCGACCGCTTTCCTGAACTATCGAAGAGAATAAAATCAGAACCTTTAGTAGACATGAACAGGATTCAGGACTTGCATCATGTAAAAGTTGGCGTTGAAAATATGGCAGGAGGGAGTAAAATTTTAGAGCAGAACAGCACAGAAGAGAATATCCCGATTGATGTTGAGAACTGACGTTTTCTTGATATTGTGGTATTCTGTGAAAGGGATAATTGTATCCAAAGAAAAAAATATATCAGGGAATCTCCTGTGGGTCTGGTGGATTACTTCGAACAATTATGATCTTTCTGTGGTGCTGCGCAATGTTGGCACCACTTTTTGACTGTGGAGATAGGGTAAAACACTCTCCTCATCGTTTGAGCTGTCTTCTGTCTTTCAAAGTTTTCCCCTGTCGGGTTCAGATAATAATGTAAAATTGGAGGTGTCCCAATCCAAAGATGTTTTACAGTGTGGAGACTGATTCCTTCCCCCCCTTCATTTGAAACGTGGAAATTTGGAGGAAGTGTTGGGATTGATGTTTTCCTGTGCTTAGGCTGTGGCTTTAGATCTGTGTTACTGAGATGTGTTTTTTATTTTTATTTTTATTTTTTTTAAATTGTTCTCTGAAAAATTATTTCTTTCATCTACGACAAATTCAAGGAAAAAGGCCTGTGCTTCTTTCCCCTCTTCTACCTTAACAATTTTGGACCAATGCTGATGAATAAGATACTCTTTTGAGAAATAATTGGTACCTTTTGTGTCGTGAGCAGTGCAGAACTCTGACTGTCAAAGAATGATGAGTTCGGTACTTTAGAACCTGCTGTCCTTCACATGATTGCTTTGAAAGCAGTCTGTGGACAGTTGATGATGCTCATATTTTATGTGCATCTGTTATCTAAATATTTTCAAGCACTTCATAACCATTTCCTCTTCATCCTTTTTCGTTGTCATTCTCATTTAAGTTTTCTTCTCCGAATTTCATTTCCCTCGTTTGAAATTTTGGTATGTTTTTAGTACCGGAATATATCCCTGCTAATTTCATTGATCTGCACAATGATATCATTCTCCGTGAGTGACCTAATTCAGACAGAACCATTTTTAAAAGGTTGTCCCAATGTTGTGGTTTGTCATTGCACAGCACGGTTCATTCACTTAGAGAGATAGTATTAAACGTCCCACAGTATGTGAAATTACTGTATTATGTAGTGTATGATTGTTGTTCAGGCTTTGTATGAAATATATTTGTCTTGTATATGTTAGTCCACACACCATGCAGTTGCGAGCGCTGTAAAACCTTACTAAAACTAAACACCATGCATTGTATTGGTTTGTATGCCTGTTGAAATAAAGCAACTTACATTGTTTCTTTACAGTAGTCTCCGCCTAAACGCATGCCATACAAAAGCACGCTCCGCTCAAACGCATCTGACGGGTTTTTTACTATATAATTTAGACGTACAAACGCACAGTCACTCCCTCTAAACGCACGCTCCGATCCGCGAAACACGTGGACAGGTAAAGCTTGACGAGGGGAAATTTTCACTGCAACCTGCACAGCCTGCATTAGAGTAAGACAAGCCTAGAAAACGGATATTTGGTGAGACTGCCCGTCATGCGGAACAAAGAGAGTGATTTACAGCATTTTCACACCCTACTTTCCACTAACACATAGGTCTCAGTCCAGGGCTGGTCGGTTAAATGTGTGTGTGTGTGTGTGTGTGTGTTTGGAGGGTGGGGGTCTGAAATGTTTTTTGATTAGTCACTGGAAATGCATCTTTGTTGAGAGAAGATTTCAGGTTGGTGTTTGAGTGACTGCATGTAATGTTTAGTTAGACCTAGGCCTGATGCGCGACACATGCGAAAGCCGTAAAACTCTAGACAGGCCTCTATAGGATTTAAGATTAGCCAAGTAAGCCTAATCAGCTATGCTCGAAGAACTTTTGTTCAACGAATCACAAGAGAAAATGTTTCTCTGAACGTAAAGAATTATTCTGCATGAATTTACGGTTGGAGGGGATCGCTTGAAAAGCCACGTGGCTGGTCCGTCGTCTCTATCACTATCACCACCAAGTTTCCTCTTAGGCTATCTGTTCCCGACGTTTATAGTGCATATTCATTACATTGAGTCCCCCCCCCCCTCCAACGCCTTTGTATTCTTAACACCTGTCGGGGAATCCTTCACAAAACAGTCAAGTGTTGTCACATTATCTGCCAAAATGACCCCCTTCCCTCCAAGGGAGGTCTCTAGAGTAATACGGAATTGAGATGACTGCGCCCTTCCTCCCCTTCCAAAGGTTTGTGTAAACGCACGCTCCGTGTAAACACACGCTAAGGAGCCCTCCCGAGCACCGTGCGTTTAAGCGGAGACTACTGTACTTGTGTTTATGCATTAAAATAATTGTGCAATTTTTTTCTTTTTATAACTTTTTTTTCAAAAAAACAATGCTTGCTGTATTGTTATAGGTGAGGATTTTACTGACAGATGAATACTCTCTACATTATTTTCATTTTGATTCATTCCAATCCATTCTGTCCAAGTTTAATAACTCCCTGAGCCATGGCCATTTTTACACTTTTTCTAATTAATATGATCCTGTTTATCACACTTATCAGACATCCTTAGATCTAGTATGTTTTACAATAATAGAATAGCTAAGTCAAAAGGACTTTGCACCTCAAGTAGGTCACCAAAGTGAAAGTTTTATAAACTACTTCCATATTTTGGAAATCTTTTATTACAGGAAAATGATGCAAGGATAGCTTCATACAAAATCGTTCCTCATTCTTAGATTGTTGTCTGGAAAAACGTGCGAAATCTGGAGCCCTTTTATGTTGGGGATCTGGGCTGAGCCAATATCCTGTCAATTATTTTCGGGACCAGGGCTCAGTGAGTTAATTCAAATGAATAGTGTTACTTTTTTTGTGTCATCATTCTGCCTTTACATTTGAGTCGCTCTCTTTGAAATTGTATAGACTTGTAAATATGCTGTCAAACCTTTCAATGTTTATCCATGGATGAAGCACAAAAAAAAAAAAGGATTATCTGAATTTAGAGTTAATACTGTGTTTAGTTCATAGGAGTGTCTCTTTGATGATATAAATGTATTTAATATTTGTTGTAATGAATTGTACATATTGCAGGAAGTCTGCCTAATATTGATTAATACATAGTAATAAATGTGTAAAAGTGACAGATTATGCTTTGATATCAAGTACTTCATTGGTCTTTGTTGATATCCAAGACACACTTTGAATGAGAAATTTGTATGCATGAACTTGAAGTCCATTGTTTTAATGTATGCATCCAAATAGTAGTTATTGATATAGGGCCGAGAGAGAAAAACCTTTAAAAAAAATTAATTACTGGATCAAGATGTTTCGAAAAAATATTTTTGTTGGTTGCTGGCCCGTAGAAGTGCCATGCAAAGTTTTGTGAGCATAGAAAATGAATAAATGAGTTGGAATTTTTTTAATGTGGTCAGACGAAAGTGAACAAGCTGTCCATGATTTGAGCATTATTATGCTGACAACAAGCGAACCAAGCAAGTAAAGGATATAAACCTATACATATTTTCAAAAGTAAAATATAAATAGGTAGTAGAACTTGCTTGTGAAAGAGTCGAAATATTTGGCATTATAAAAAAAATGGGATAAAGAAACAGAAATAGCAACTCAAATTATGGCGGATTATGTCGGCTGCAACACCAAAGAAGGAAACTTGAGGCTGATTTAATCGGCTGTCGACACTAGGAAGTTTTAAATTGTAGAAAGAAATTAAGTGGTCCGCCCACACGAGTTGTAAATTGAAGCAAAAGGTTGTTATTGAGTGCCTAATTCTGTGAAATTATGTAGTGTCTTGAAAATGACTTTGAATTTGAATAAGGAAGGAACTTGTAACTGTGTGGTATGCCAAATATCAAACTGCCTTTGAATTGCTAGCCAACTAAATAAGTTGCATACTAGTGACAGAAGTGTTGTGAACAAGACATTGGTGTTTCGAGTAGTTTTGTGATTTATGTGTGAATAGCAGTTTCGTTTCATAGTTGAGAACTATGAAAAAATTGTTTGGCTTTATAGGTAGAAAAGTGGGATTGTAATGACGTGTAGTTGTTGATAAAAGGAGGGGGGATGTTATCAGTTTTACAAGTGATCATCCTTAATTTTATTTATTTTTTAAAGATCGTGTTAAAATCCAAAAGCAAATGTATGTTGCGGAGGCTTTTTATATTTGTTTAAGTGTACTTTCAAATATTGTCAGTAATAACATTTGACTTAATACACTTTCAATGAGGCAGCCAGACTTACTCATGGATTGTGCTGATCACTTACTTCACGCTTTGTTTTATTCACCATTTGCTGTACTGTGTTCACCAGGTGGAACCCTTTACCTTTGTTATTAATGTTATTGTTGCTTTATGTTTATGTGTCACATTTTGTGCTCTACATTGTTGTGTTGGAATATTGATTGTTCAAAATATTTTATGATTTTCAATAAAAATGTCGATAAAATTAGAATAGTGTTGGTCTTGGAAATGGAAATGAATGACTTGCAAAACAACTGGAAAAGTTTGCTCTCTTTCTGTTTCTCTCTCTCACATCTCTGTGTGTGTCCATCTGTTTGTCACTCGGTCTCTTTCCCCCTCTTCTTCCTCTCCCTTACACTGTTTCTCCCTCTTCCTCTCCTTTTCACTAACACACTCTCTCATAAATGCGTGAACACACATACTCACACACTCTCTGTGTTTCTCTGTGTCTAACTCATCGCCGTCTCTCTGTGTTCATCTGTCACTACGTCTCCCTCTTCCACAAACGCACACATAAGATGCGGGATGTAAATGTAAATTAATGTCAGCGGGTGGTTGGAGGGCGCCAGTGGTAGGTCCTACTTCTTTTCTTTCTCTTTGTTGCTTGTTTCTATCTGTCTTGCTTCTTCCCTGCACTGTATGGTCATTATCGTATCGATGTGTTTCTCTTTACTCAAGTGGGTGGTTGGCGGGTGCCCTTGTGTGGTTTGCTCCTTCTTTTCTATCAAACATCTGATCTATCATCCTTATCTTCCCTCCTTCTATTTTGTGTTTGTTACTCTCTTGTAAGACCTCTAATCTGCGGCACTTATATGACCCTATTGTGTTGCAAGTGCCATAAAACTCTTACAAAAATTTAAAAAATCTTTACTCAAACTCAATGTCGTTGAAAAGGAATGACAAATGGGATCAGGATTGAGGCAAAATGGTTTCGAGACAATGTAGAGAAGGGAACCAAGACTAATTGGGTGCACTCAGATTGTATCAAGTCTGGTCCCCTATTCTGGCCTGTTGAAAAAGTGCCAAACTCCTATTAATAATATAAAGGACACTTACTGGCCTTTTTACTAAGCTGGCCTTGGCAATAGTTGCTAAGGCATCCTTCAACCACAGCCTTTTTTTAGGTGGTAATTTAATCATACTTTTACTCTGAAATATTTCACACTCAAAACTAGTGGTCTTTATTAACACTTTGGTTGCCTCATCTTGCCGATTGGTGATGTTTATCACCTAGTTTTAAAAATATTTTCCACAAAATATGATGGCAAAGTGTTGTGTTAGAATATAATGTATCTAAAGGTAGCCTC